ATCACTAGACTGACTGACAGACAGACAGACAGACAGACAGACACACACACACACACACACACACACGAAACTCCTAGGAGCAGAGCTGAACCGAGGCAGCCGTCTCCCCAGTCTGAAGGGGCTGCAGCTGGATTTACCAAAGGGAATAGCATTTTTTTTCCAGCCTTTAGAACGCTCTGGCCAGAACCCAGGAATTGACATGAGATTTGGGAGGAAGAAAAAGAGAAATCTTGAGAAAGAGGGACCAGAGAGTTTGGGGAAGACACCCAGCCAATGGTCCCCTCTGGTTCTCAAAGCCCAGGCAGAAGGCTGCTGGGCCCACTCCCTGGGCTCCTGCAGCCCAGCCCGCCCTCCTCCTGTTCCCCACCCACTCCAGCCCCATCCCCCCAGCCCTGCTGGTGGGGATGCCCTCGGTACCAGCTGGGGAACAGGAGTTGGCCGCTTGGTCCAATGTGCCACTCTCTCTGTCCTAAGCCCTGGGCCAACTCCTGTTGCCTCTTGACTCAGAAGCCAGCCTCCTGTCAGCCCCTGTTCCCAGCCTTCCTTTCACTCCCAGGAAGCTATTTAGAGCCACTGAAGTGCAAGCTTCTCCTGCAGTCTCTGTTGGGTCTGGATCTAACCCGGGATTAACAGCAGCTGAGGATTAAAAAAAAATGGAAAAGTGCCTTAATTTTCCCTCCTCCACTCCAGTGAACATCAAAGTGCCTCTAAGCGCCTGACCCTTACAACTGCCTGGGCCGGCAAGCGGTGCATGCGTTATTCCCCCATTTCACAGAGCAGGAGACTGAGGCTCCGGGAAGAGAAAGACTTAGCCAGGATCCCGAACCCAGCCACTCTGAAAGGAGGGAGAGAGGGTGGCTGAGAGCCAGGACTTGGACAGTAAGGTGTGGAGGGACACCCAGCTCTGCTCCTCACTGGCTCTGGGATTATGGGCGAGTTACTGCACCCCCCCACTGCACCCCCACTTCCGTAACTGTGAGATGGTGGAAATGGTCCCTGCTGTTGGGGTGCTGGGACAATGCAATGAGACAATGCCTTAGAGCACTTAGCACTACACATCAAGTGTGCTCTGTAAGTGTCAGCTCTGAGGCAAAACGGGCCACAGGCTCTCAAGGATCCCAGGACCCCACGTGGCCATAGGTGCGGCTCAAATCCAGATAGCAGCGGCTCCCAGCAAAATTGCTCAGGCTCCTGGAAGCAGCACCCCCTAAGGAATGAAGGGACATCAGCATGGTCAGACAGAGTGCTGCAGCAGCCCAAGAACTCTCTGGGGTGCTGGCTCCCCCACCTTCCCCGGCCCAGCCTTCCTGGAGAAAGCCATCTCCCCTGGGGGCACCAACTCTCCCAGGACTCTTTCCGAAGGGACTCTTGGGCAGCTGGGCATGGGTGCAAAGGTGGCTCTTTGGGGGCTATGACCCTTACAGTGGCCTCTCGTGCAAGACTTAAACTGAAAGCCAGAGCTGAGAGCCACCTGTGTCATTACCAATCAGAACCACAGCCTTGGCTCCTGGGGCCACCAACCATGTCACGATGAAATTCATTCACCCAATAAATAAACAGGTATTTATTTTTATATCTAGCTCAATCAAATGACTGCCATGTTGAGCTCAATAATCAGTGGGGATTTTGTGGCCAACCAACCAGAGCAGCTAGGTCCTTATCTCACGGAGTTTATATCCCCGTGGGAGAGTGGACAGACCACACACAACAAATGAGTTAGGTAACTCCCGAGAGTGTTCACTGTACCAAGGTGCACTGGTAGAGAATAAAGGGTGGGGTGATCTTTAGATCAGATCATCAGGGAGGACAGCATGGAGGAGGTGACCATGGGCCCACACTAGGATGATGTTCAGGGAATGAGTCACAGAGTACTCCAGGGAGGGGAGGAGCTGGTGCAAGTTCAGAGCAGAGTGAGCAACAGAGAGTGTGAGCGAGAGGAGGGCAGAAAGGGGGAGGCAGAGGCCAAATCGCAGGAGGCATCTGGCGTTTAAAGGAAATGGGAAGCACTGGACAAGTGCGTGATCTAATTCACGTTTCTAAGTGAACACTCCAGCTGCTGGTTAGATAGGGAGTGAAGGGGGTAAAGGATGAAGCAGGAAGACTAGTCAATACTAGTCTGATGGGACTGATGCAGGGGTTCGGCAAGAGATGTCAGAGGCCTGGACCCAGTGCTGGAGGTGGGGACAGAGGAGGTGGATAGGTCTGCAGCGACAGGTCTTGGAGGGGAGCCCCCAAGGCTTGCACGGGAGGGACCAGGGTTGACTCCCGGTGTGTGGCTTAGGCACCCGGTGGACAATGCTACCATTTACTGAGATGGGACAGGGGGTGGGAAAGCAAGCATGGATGTGTATATGGCTGGGGAGGAAGAGCCTGCTCCAAACACGTCACTTTCTGAGCTGGAGAGGTCACCGGGCAGCCGGGATGCTCCTGACCCCCCATCCCCACAGCTCTCTCCTCAGACTTCCACTCCAGTCTTCCACACCAAGTGACATCCTGGCTCCCAATCTCCTTCTGGCGTTTGGCCTCTGCTGCCTGCCTGATCCCTAGATATGAATGAGCTTACGCCTCAGTGACCACCCAGCTCTGTTTTGTCACTTCATGCTTCAAACACTACCTGACTCAGCATCCCCTATGCCTCTGGGCAAGGCTAGAACACCCCTTCCCCAGCTACCGCAGAGCTGACCACGTGACAAGGCAGCCCCCGCAGCCAGCCGCCATCATACTGGCTTCTGCCCTGGGAACACCCGGCCCCTCTCTCAAAGACGGACAGGGATGGAGCTGGGTGCCTGCACATTTCAGATCTCTGCAGGGAAATCCCTTGGGGAGCTTCTGCCAAAGATGCCTTAGGCCCAGGAAAGGAAGTGAAAAGGCACTTTGGAGTCCAGCATGCCTGGGTCTGAACCTCGAGTCTGTCCCTGCTACTAGCTCTGTGGCTGGCGTAGGGCCCCAGTGTCCCCGGCTGTAAGCTGAAGCCGTGAGTAGGAGGGATCTGCTGTCTCTGAGCTCTTAGCCGGGGAGGGCAGGTGGGTAGGAAGGAGGCAAGGTGGGAAGGGGCAGGGGGCTGAGGGGCCCCTCAACTTTCCATGGCCTCCAAGTTCATGATCTTAAACCTGTAACCGGGGACTCATCGTTACATGTTCAGAACTCCTTCCTGAAGGCAGGAAACTGTTGGGCAGGCAGGCAGTGGGGCGGTGGATGGAGACCATAGCCCAGCGTGCATATTATCTGCGCACGTGTGTGTGTTTGAGTGTGTACACACACGCGCATGTGCAACTATTTGTGAATACTCAAGAAAACTCCAACTCGCAAAGCACAGTTTCCTTCAAACTCCTCCAACCCACCCCTTTCTGCCAGCTTAAGAGCTGGTGTACCCCACAGTTAGGAGGGTTGCTGGGGCCTGGGATAGCTCCAGGGGCATGTGAGGTGTCAATAACTCTATCGATGAGCTCCCCTGTGGGTCCCCCATTTACCCCCACCTCTCCACCCCCCACCACACGACAGGAACCTTTCATGTTGTTGTCATTTCCCGTCCAGGAATCTCTCCTAGGGAAAATTCCTAAGTATACAAACAGTCTCATAAATAATATTAGCCCCTGTGCTGTGACTAATAGCCCATGGCTGGGGTTAACCTCTGCCTGGTAACTGACCACACCACAGGCACTCCACAAGACACAAATAAGTAATAAATACAACATCAAAGCATGAAAACATGGAGAAAACGTGTTGGTAGGCATGTCAAATGATAAGAACAAAACCTAACATTATTTATTCAGGATGGTTTAAACCAGTGCTGGCCAACAGAAACATAATGCAAGCCACTTACTTAGATTTTAACTTTCAAGTGGCCACATTTTAAAAAGTAAAGAGAAAACAAACATGTAGAAAATTAATTTTAATATGTTATTCAGCTCTATATATCCAAAGGAGTGTGATTTATACTAGACATAAAAAAAGTTCTGAATGAAATTTTATACTCTTTTTCCTGTACCAAGTCTTCAGAATGCAGCCCATCTTCAAATTTATATCTTTGATACAGCACATCTGAATTTGGACTAGCCATGTTTCAAGTGCTTAATAGCCACACAAGGCTAGTGACGACCTTACAAGACAGTCCAGGTCTTGCCCATTTCTCACCCAGAAATTTTTAAAAGACTTTTGAATTGGTGATGGGGTGGGGAAAGACTAGATCATAATGATCATATTTTCTCTGAGCAGTGGGAATATGTTATGTGATTTTTTTTCCTTCTTTCTGTTTTCCAATGTGTCTAAATATAACGAATTCATGTTACTTTTTACACAATAGCAAGAGCCAACCTTGTTAATTTTAGAATAGAAGTAGGGAGTTTAGAGACCCAACTGGGTGAAACTTACTTGGCAAGCATGGATTTATTTGCACCCACGAGAGCTATCCCTGCACCCCTGACACCTAGCATGGTACACGCCCCACATACACTGGTTGGTTAGTTGGGGGGTGCGGGGTTGTATGGATAGGAAGAGAGAACAAAGGAAGGAAAACAGTACATTGTAGCAGTCAGAAGAGTAAACTGAAGTCAAATTCTCTTTTCAAACTTTCAAGGCAATCACTTACTGGATGTGTAACTTTAAACAAGTTACTTAAGCATTCTGTGCTTTAATTTTCCCCAATATAAAATGGCAACAAGGATACTAACTCCCTTATAGGGTTTTGTGAGAAGTAAACCTATACAAAATGTTTAACACAGTGTCTGCCACATAGCCAATGCTTCCAGAAATGCTGGCTGCTGTCATCATGATGAACAAATGAATGGCCAGCATGGTCAGGCTGCCCTGGTTTATAATGTACTGACTTGAAGTGCCAGGGCACTTGCTGGAGTGACTTTTACTCTGGGCCACTCCCATCCCCTTCTCAAGAGCAGAGAGCACCCCCGCCCTTAGCCACGGTGAAGCTGGCCCACGGGTTTGTGTGGTCCCTCTGCGTGGCCCCTCACACTCCACCCCTGCCCAAGCCCCGGCCCGTGTACCTGCACCACCTCCGGCCTCACGTTGAAGGTGTACAGCCAGTCGCTGAAGCGGGGGTAGCTGTTGAGCTCCGAGGTCCTCTCGCTGGGGGCCACGCTCAGCTTGCACTGCCGCTGCTTACAAATGTACCGGACCAGCTTCGCCTGCGGGGAGGCCAGGGAAGAAAAGGCCGCGTTCATTCGTGGCCCAGGCACGTGGCAGCCCCCAGCAAGCTACAGGGGAGCTCGGGCAGACACGAGCAATGTGATGAGGACAGCGGCCTGCCGGCTCTGCTCTCGGCTGTTTGCGTGACACAGCTGGTCTGACACTGCCCCACCCTCAAGACCATGAGGTCAGAACAGAGAACTAGGTTGAACATAAAAACGCCTTCCTGCTGGGGTGGGGTGGGAGAGTCGGTAATTGATAATGTGGAAGACTTTGGGGTTTGGGGAGGATGGGTAACTTACCAAGGATGTGTCCAGCCTAGAAGCAGACTGCCTACGTTGGGGTCCAGTGGCTCGGTCTCATCCTAGCTCTGTGACCTCGGACAACTTACTTAATTCTGCCCCCAACCCCCACCACCAGAAGAACCTCCATTTCCTCCTCCAGAAAATGAGGGTAATAACAGAATCTGCCTCTCAGGGAAGGTGAGAAGAATGACGCCCGCGGGACATGCCCAGCATGCAGTGAACAACAAAGTGTGGCCGTGACTGCAGGGCTGTAGCAGTGCTGGTCAGGGTCCCCAAATAAGCTTTCAGGGATCCATACCCTGAAATGTATGCAAATTTCAGACACGTGAGCCTTTGTATTTTCCAAGGGAAGGGTGTCCAAAGCTTTCAAAAGACTCTTGAAAGGCTAAAACTTCAAATAAGGTAAGTTTAAACGAGGACAGGCAGAGACAGACCTAGATCAGCCTGGCAGTCTCCGTGACAAACACTGGGCTCCGACCTGGCGCCCAGTACTGGACTGAAGAAATGGGGGAGGAGGGGCACAAGGAGGGCGCAGCCAGGGGTGGTTAAAAAACAAAGGAGACGTGTCCCATCTGGAGGCCAGGCCAGGCCAGGCCAGGCTGAGCAGGCTGAACAGAGGGAAATGAGCACATCGCCACTGCAGAGACCCGAGGAGGCGCCTGGCTTGGCTGAGATCAAGTGAACCAGGGACCCAGCCAGAGCTTCCGAAATGTTGCCGGGACTCTAGTGCCCTCCTGTTGGTGACTTCCAAGATTCCCCCCAAAAAGGCAAGCACCACCTTCAAGTCTCCTATAGGACCCTGCCATTCAGAGACACCTCCTGGGTCATGCTGCCCCTCACAGGTTTTGCAGTTACTGTTAATTCATTCCTTTTCCTTCCATCTGCAAATAGAGGTTGAGCATTCCCAATCCAAAAATCCAAAATCTGAAATGCTCCAAAACTCACAACTTTTTTAGCACCAACATGATGCTGAAAGGAAATGCTCACTGGAGCATTTTGCAGTTCGGATTTTGGATGCTTAACCATTGAGTAAAATGCAAATATTCCAAAATCCAAAAAAAATCTGTAATCTAAAACACCTCAGGTCCCAAGCACTTCGATAAGGGATACTCAACACTTAGTAAATCTCAGTATAAATAAATCTCAGCACATTTTTCTAAAGGCCAAGGATTCTTTTGTCAACAGTCACAATATTAAAAAATAATAATTTTAAATTTCAAATATCTAGAAAGGCTCCAAATTTCCAATTAGAACAGGAGCTTATAACCATTTCAGAGTAGGGACCCCTCTGGCAGTCTGGGGAGGCTCATGATCTCTTTCTAAGAACAATGCTTTTAAATGCATAAAACACTTAGGGTTACAATGGAAATCAATTGTTATTTAAACACGTTAATCAAGATATTAAAAGTGTGAATGTAATTAAAGCACCTTTATTAAAGTATTAAATGATATCTAGCAGTGGGTCTAATAACCACCATGACTTTGGAGCTGTCGCAAGTGTAAACTACTTTTTCGACAGCTCCATAGTGATACTGTATGAAAACAGCTGTGATTGCTACTGGTGACCGAGTCGCAGGTACTTACTAAGATGACCGTGCCTTGTTGCTTACAACCAAGTGGAACAGCATGCTAAATTCCCATTAAGGTTAATGAAAATAAAAGTGCATTTTTCCCATCCAAGTCTGTGGGTCCCTGAATCCTATCCACAGACCCTAGATAAAGAACTCCTGTGGCTAGAGGGATGTGAACATGAAACGAGACCCACAATGACAACAAAACCACTGCTCCCACATCAGCCTGTCTGAAATTGCCCCCCAGAAACCATTTAATTGCTTGGTCCCAAGTTCACCAAGAATCTGGCAAACCCAGATTCAGCCCACTCAGGGTCACTAGCCCTTCTCATGTAACCCCAAACTCCGTAAATCCTGCTACCTTCAGGACACCAGGGCCTCAGTGGCAAGTGGGGACAATCGCTAGACAGGGAGCCCTGAGTCAGAATCAAAATAATCCCACTCAATTGTACAGTCCGGATGTTTGGGGAAACCGTGCATTCCTGCACCACATGCCCTCAGGCGTCCGGAGCAGACACTGCTGATCCCACACTCTCACTGAGGCCAGAGAGTGATCACATAAGAAGTCTACTCGCTGTCCTATTAAGGGACCAACATTGTCAGGGACAAAGCTGACACCTGCGCGTTTACTCTACAGGTGTAAGTAGGCACTCAGTGCCCTGTCCCAGCTCACCCCACTCTGACCCTCCCTCCCGGTGAGATCAGAGGCTAATCCCCAAGTAAGGACCTCAGTCTCCCCCCACCCATCTCCATTCCGCAGCCCCTGCCCCCACCCCGCCCTCCAGGTACACACCCACCCACCAGCCATTCCTGAAATCCTTCCTGGAGTTTCCCACCCAGGCCAAGCCAGAGTCCCCACGTCCCCTGCCAAGTGGACCACGTGTGACTGTATCACGCCCGACCACGGTGGGCCTCGTACTAAAGTTAACAGCTTCTGCTTCAGTCTCTCCCAATAGATCTGAACTCCCCGGGCACGGGCACATCTCAGAAGGCTTCTGAGGTGAACAGATCTGAGTTCAAAGCCACCATTCACTAGTTGTGTGGCTCTGAGGAAGGTAAATTAATTTTTCTGAGTCTGTGAAACAGGAATGGCGACACCAAGCTCACACTGCACTGCAGTACAGAGACCACACGAGACTAGGTCAGATGCCCCTATTGTCATACATCAAGGCAGGGGCCGTGCCCACCTCATTCACTACTGTCCCTACCTGCCTATTTCCGCACCTGGCACTTAACAAGTGCTGAGAAATGCCCGAGGAAGGAAACAGGGGGCCTTCTCCCCGTGTTTCTCACAGCCAGTTCCTCCCTCCGTTCCAAACAGCTCTCAGACCACCACTTCGAAGGGCTGACCAGAGACAGGACTATATAAATCAGGCAGCTGTCCAAACTCAAAACCACTCTTTTCCACGTTAACTGAACAGGCTGGGCTGCTGGCACCAACAGCAGCAGCTATGAAGACCGTCCGCCACTGGCACAGGCCTTCAGGGACCACGCTCCTCCGGGAGTGATTAATAACATCTGCTCTGCGCAAGACGTTGGGGCCATCGCAGGCCAACATCGAGACGAGCCAGCATTTGGGACTTCTCCAGTTCAGCCCCCTCCCCACCACCTGCTGCCCTTTTCAGCCAGAGGCCCCCCCTTCCTCTGCCAGGTGGGCTCTTCCCAAGGACTGTTCTGCCTGCACAGATCAGCCCAGACACCCCTTCCTCCAGGAAGCCTTCCCTGAGCCCTCTGGCCCCTGCCCAGATCCCATATCACAGCTCTGATTTTTTGCTTGTCTATTTTAAAACTTTTGTCGCATGGGTGGACACACGAACACACGACGCGTTGTGCCCGACAAGCACGAGACATTTATCAAATGGTAGCGGAAAACAAATGCCAATCAGGCAAGTGATGAGGCAGGAGCCTGAACATATCTAAACCCAGAGCACGCTCCCCAGAAGAAGAGCAAGTGGTTTCTTTTTTTTTTTTAAGGGTGTTAGAGGTGCCCACTAGATAGCCCAGAGCAGTCCCCGCGGAGGACTGGGCAGAACCCGAAGTGATTCCTTGCTGCGCCCAGGTAACAATCCATAAACCCAGCAGGCTGAGCCTGACACATGACACACTGTGACCCATTTGCCAGGGACCCATTTGGTGTTCTGGAAGCTGCTATCTCCCCGAGCTCATGAAGAAGAAACGACACCTGCAGATTTGGGTTCTCGCATTCACAGAGGACAGAGGAGCTCAGCGTGTGGCAAACTCCCCGTCAGTGACATACAGCTGCTCTTGCTTTTTGGAAAGTTGGTTGCAATGACAGAAGCACCAAGGGGTGGCCCTGCCAACCCAGCCCTAGGGGCTTACAAGGGACCTTTCGCTGGTAGTGTCATTTTCTCTTAACCACAAAACCACAAGATATAAATTTTCCAGCACAGAAAAGCACCTGGGGTTCTAGGGATGGGAGCAACAGTAAGAGGGAACTTGGCCATAGGAGAGGCCCTGGCCAGACTCATGGACCCCACCCCCACCTGACACAGAACCTGGTTTACAGAAAGAGCAGAAGAGCATCAAATCAGCCCATAAACAGTTGGTGGGTACTATCAGATGCACTGTACACAGCAGGCACTCACTAAGTGTCCTGGGCTGAAAGACCTCGGCTCTGGTCCCAGGTCTGACGTTTAAGATCAAAGATCTTGGAAAAATCATCCTCAGCTCAGCTTCAGTCTCACTACCTACAGGCGAGAGCATCACTTACGGAGGTTGGGGCCAAGTGAGTTGCTATATACAAAAGAGTGCCTGGAAAAAAGCTACACGGGTCCTCCGACATTACAGTTGGCTGCTCCAACCATAAACAAGAGGCAAGAGAGCTCCAGAGGAAGACCTCAGCTCTCAAGACAGGCAGACTAGGCCTTAAAGTCCCTCAACACCATCTTCCTTCAATGAGTGAACACAGCCATAGAATTTGACCTGTAAGTCTCAGTTTCCCCACCTGTAAAATGGGGTCGATCCACCTCAAAAGGCTGTTGCAAAGATTTACACGAGAAAATATGAACATAAAATGCTCAGCAAAATGCCTGCAACAGGGCAAACCTTGATTCGGTGGTAGGGGGGGCTGGAGCGGGTGGTGTCCCCAAGCAGCAAAGTCCT